ACTTTATAAGAATACTAGTTGATACTCGCCCGCTTTGCTGGGCACACTATCTATTTGAATGTGAACCTAGACTTCTTATATGAACGAAATGTCTAATTTCGAATTGATAATTAAAGTAAATTTTTTTTAAATTTAAAGTCGGGAAATATAATGCCAGTAAGTGAATCTGTCATACACAGATTTCCCATCACCCATGAGGTACTGTGTATTGGGATGCGTCCCCATTATTTAACGTCGCGAGATCCCCAGTAAGCCAACACCACGAAAAATTGCCAACATAAAACTAAGATTTATATATATTTAACTGTTATCATAAGTATCATGAAAATAAATGTTATTATCTTTGTTATCAAATTTTTTAATCAATTATAATTATTTGTCCTTGATTTTTTATGTATAGAAATTTTTATAAATAACAACAACATTTTTATTTTTCATCACAACAATTTATTTCTCATCATAATAAATGACATTTATTTTCATGAAACTTATAACAGTTAAATATAAATGTTATTATTAACCTTATCATTTAAATGTTGTTTGTATTCATCAGATAGATGCAAGTTATTTACCAATTTAATAATTTTAGAGGAAAATGCATTCATCGGCAACATTGCATTTCATATCTAGTTTTGGCAACAATAAAAGAAAGTTTTGAACTCGGGTTTGAAAACCAAATGTATGAGAAACTTCTATTGTATAACAAAAATCTATTTTGGACAGTATTTACATAAAATCCGTTCTTAATGAGCGTCTACATCGTGGAATGAGTAACTAGGCAAAATTTCAAGTCAATCGGGTGTATAGCTTCGGAGATCTCGTGATGAGTCAGTGATATTTCGCTTATATATAGAGAGAGATTTTAAATGTTTCATTACGTCAAGTTAAGAGAAAATTTGTGAATAAAAATCTACAAAGAAAGAACAAAAATCTTGGTGCTCAAGCTGTACGAATACGCGTTGAGCGTGCTGACCACTACACCACGAAGGCATGCTAAGAAGTTGGGAGAAATACCTTATATACTCCCCCTTTTAAAAGGTGACTGGGATTTTAGGGGACCCAGTTGCCAGATGGTAAAGAATCATCATTCACCACCTTTTTAGTTCAGGCGCCACTGTAGAGGCATCAGGTTATTTAGTAGCTGGAGATGGGAAAAATGAACAATGCCATCGCCGGGACTCGAACCGCGGACCTCTCGAATTCCCGTCAAGCGTGCTTACAATTACACAACGAAGGCATACTAAGAAGGCGGGAGGAATACCTTATAACTTTAAATTCTTTAAATTTTAGTCTAAAACACTAGTTTAGCTACTTTTACCCTGCCTTTCAGCGCAAATATTATTATTTTTCTTGTTATTATTTCTTTTATGATGAAGCTTTTTAAAGCTTTATTATTTCTTTAGACTTTTCTTGACATCTTTTGGAATTTACATAGAGTAAACAATTTAACACATATTCTATTCATCAAAAATCAGCACTGAAATAGGAAAAGCAGGTAAGCTGAAAGGTAAAAAATGCTATCATAAATAAACATAGAATTAATTGCCGATTGCAATCTCGTTGAAACTCTAATCAAACTGTTCTTGTTACAGCCATGATTTGCAATCAAAGTGATAATGACACCTGAGAAAGCAGGAGTGTTTTGACGACAGAAGAGGGGTATGTTACTAAAAATGATTTGGCATGCTTGTGACAAAGATCGAATAGAAGTCGTTTGCTGCATTCCAAGCTGCATCTCTGTTTTACCGACCAAATGCTGCAAAATTTCGTGCTTAGCAGTAAAACGTTTATTGAAAATGTTAGCACGGTACTTTTCCGCTTAGCCGGTGCAAATCTCGCCAAGTAGACTTTATTGGCGAACACACACAGTATATACACAAAAAGTGTTGACAAATGTTAGTTTTAAGAATTTTTTATTTTGAAGGTATAAATATTTTAATGTCGTTTTTAAAATTTTGTAAAAAAAAGCCAATAAATAAAGACAATAATTTGTAAAAGAATTAATTAAGAATTTACTATGCTTTCATCGTACAACATCCTGATTCGCCGGTTCATATCACGTGACCCCAAGTGATCTCATCTCACGTAAACTACCCTACAAAAATCTAATTCTCTCAGTAATTATCTACACTTAGTTTCAAGTTAAATCTAATTGGAATACAAGTTGGAATGCGAAGAATTATTTCACTTCGTACGAATAGCTTCCTCAGAAATTATGTAAAACCACAGTGCTTTACTTCCGCTTGTACATTCTCATTAGAAATGGATGAATTTAACCCCTTGACTTTGCCTTTTCTATATTTTCGCCATTCGGATGAGCGGTGTGTGATTGCGTCCTATAATTGACTTAATTACCGCCCGCGAATGGCCTTAGGGCATAAAATTGAACAATCTGGTAAAAATTCTGTGTAGTTGTATGCCAGTATTGAAAGAACCAATCAATCTGATAAGAAATGGCTGCGATTTGTTTTGAAAATGTAAAAGTTAAAGTAAAATTTTACCAGCGAGGATATTTCGTTTGGCATCGGTTGTACCATTACTGGCGACTTCATCGCTTGCGCCGGCAAAACGGAAAAGTACCGTCAGTACTAACAATAGTGCTTTGACAAACTTGACTGAGTTTCTATCAAACTGTATCAGACATAAATTTTATGTTTATTTGCTAACTTTCTCGTAAAAATTTCTCCCTTTATCCGTGACGAAAATAATTTAATAATATAATGCATAATTTTAAACATATAACAATCCTATGTAGTATTTTAAATAAGCTTTAATGAATCTCTATGGAATACGAAACGATTTTTCGCCAGTATTTACATCCGCGGAAAATATTTTGTAGAAAATATGAACTAGTATATTCTGGTGAGACGTACTTACTAGTACGTCTTAGAAGAAGAAATTTACAAAAATTCCGTGCAGGTAGCATATTCAATTGTTGTACAGCTGAAATCATGTCAAAAAGCCAACGTTTCTCGGTTAATTCTGCATTATCCCCCTTTCTCTGCATTCTTTAAAATCCTTCATAGAAACAACATAAATATAAAAACTTTATGCGCAAAGTTTATACTTTATACTTTAAATCATAATTGTACACTGCGCAAAAAAAAGTGGACAGTTCTATATCTCCCGTTCTAAATTGACGAAAATTCCTTTTTTCATGTGTCGAAAGCGCGACTTAACGATATATATTTTATATATATCGGACTTTTTCTAAGTCGGACTTTTTCGGACTTTTTCTCGGACTTTTTCTAAAATCGGACTTTTTCTAAAATGAAATGCTAATGTTTTTACATATTTCAATTGTACGACTCAAATTATGCCAAAATGCCAAGTTTTGTAAAAGTCGCGCGAATAGTTTTTAAAAAATTAGCTCTCAAAATTTTAGCTCTTCAATGTTAATTGAATTTGATATACGAGTATATATATATAGATATCTCTTTATTTATTAATCTTACTTGATTTCTTCTACCGGAATTCGAAATTTAGGCTTAATCCAAATATAATTCGCACATGTTTTATTATTCATTTTAAAAATTTGTATTTTTAAATATTTTTAATAATTTTTTCGAAAAACCTTTTGTATTATAACCTTTAAAACATTTAACATTATCTTAAAGTAGAGATATTTTTAAGCATACCTGCAAAAAATTAGAATTTTTTATTCAAAATTTCGTAAGTTATACGTGCATTTACATCTTGGCGTATTTTGAAATTTGGCGTATTTAATATAAGCGATAAGAACGAAAATGTGGTTTACGCACTTTGTTAAAAAATGATTTGAAAGAATGAACGATGGACCATTTTCCCTCTCGTGCGTTAATAAAAAAAAATAAAATAAGTAGATAAAATAAATTAAGAATTCCGCCAAATGAATTATTCTTGGCGCAAATTGAAAAAAATTCGCCAAGATAAATTTTTTAATTTCTGAAAACATTTCTTACCAAAAATTGTAAAATTTAATATCTAGGCATAATTTAAGTCGTAGAATCGAAATTTCGTGTAAAAATACCTATGTTACAATTATGCTATATATAAATCTAATATATATCCGAAGTCGCGCTTTCGAGACATGGAAAACTCAATTTGAATGTCATCAATCGGACCAGTAGAACGGGAGATAACAGAAGTGTCCCACTTTCTTTTGTGCAGTGTACCTATTGAGTATGGGAAACGCAATAAGCACGCAAATTTTACAAGACTAAATAATTATTCATTAAAAAATACTTATATGAAAATAATTGTAGAGCGAAGAGAAAAAGGTCAATTACATTTTTTAAATTATAAATAATGATGATAATTATTATACTTCGCTTAGTGTTTGTAATGTGTGGGCTGCTAAACGTAATTTCGTATTGCACTATCTATTTCAGAGGATGAAGTTGCACAGAATGTTTTCACTAATTGTTACGACTGTAGCGTGCAAGTGTCCCAGAAGAAGAAACTCCTCAACAATGAGTATTGCACATATCTTGTTTTATAGCGGCTGAATCAGCTAACTTAATGGGCCTTTTATAAATTTTTCTGTGTATCAAAGTAATATAAATCAAAGTAATATAAACAAATTTCCCTTAAATTTGCTCCCCCCCCCCAAAGGTTCAATCGATAGCTATCTTAAGGCAGATAGTCATCGAATGACTTTGTCACTAATAAAATAAACTTTTATTGCTTTGAAAACTATTTATTTTCTTTTAAAGAAACCTTGAAGGATGGTACCATGCACAAATGTAAAGATCGATGTTTTAGCTGGTTCAATTCTCAAACAGAGGCACGAGTAATTATCTTTGATATAGATAAAAACTACGTAACACGTAGTCGTTTAGACTTAAGTGACAAGAGAATTGTATAGTTTTTCCCAGCTGAACATGATAATTTTAGAAATCCACGCGATTACTACGCAGAAATTACATCTTATCAGTGAACGCCTGCGGACATAACAGGTGATTAAAATTAAGTGATAGCAGAATTTACATAAAATGAGCAGCTGAATGATCTTTCTTACGAGATTTCTATCTTTGATTAGAAAGCCGTAAAGCAATCCAAGATGCTGAAAACTATTCTGTTGTTGGTTCTGGTGGCCTGTGCAACTGCCAGCCTTCTCGGAGGATTTGAGGAAGTTGAAGTTGATGATGAGGAAGTGCTGACTGCAGCCAACCATGCCACGAAAAGATTGTCCAAACAGTTTGCTTCTCCCTACCACTCAAAACTCGCAAAGGTCCTCAAAGCCAAGAGACAGGTAGGCAGTGGATTTTAATTTGTTTCTCAAAATCGGTTTTCATTTTACATTTTACATGATTTGTTTCCTAAGTTGTAAGATGTATTGTGTAATATATTTAACAAACTCTATTTGAAATAAAGAAGTGCACTTTTCAACTGTTAAAGAATTTGAATATGAGAGGCAAGTTTTTCAGGGAAGTACTGTTTTCATATTAGATAAACCTAAAACCAACTTTTTGACAAATTTGTTTTTAAATAGAAGCATGTGCTTTGACCTAACTTTCAACATAGTTTCCATCTATATTAAGACATTTATCGTGTACTACAACCAGCTTCCGGATTCCAACTTCGTAGAAATCTGATTGGACCATTTTGGTACCCGATGGAGTACAACTTCCAGTAATTCAAGGGTTCTATATCAATTTTATACAGAAGCCTTCTTGAAACTTGATAAAAGTATTCGAGAAAACATTCTGCGATTTCACTATTATCTAACGAAGCTTCTTCAAGCTCCAAGAAGTGTTCTGTATGAAATTTATGAAATTGTAACAGAATGCATAAATTATTCGAAATTGGGCTTACGCCGGGTATCAAAATTGTTTTATTAAATCAGGCGGCAGATTTCTGGGATAATGCACTTCAAAAGCTGGTCGCACGATACGAAAAGTGCTTAATGTAGATGGAAATTACATTGAAAAGTAGATTAAGACCCAGACTTCCACGTAAAAATAAACTTGTTAAAAATTGTTCTTGTGTTTATGCAATATCAAAATGGTACGTATTTAAAATATGCCTCGCTTATTTTAAATATATATATAATGTGGTACAACTTACAATACCAGTACACTGAAATTTTGATGAGCTTTTTAACGGTACAATTCTAAATTTTTTCCATATGTTTGTTGGATTCATTTTATAAATTTTCACTAAGTAAAATATTAATGCTAAGAAACGATTTTTGAAACACCATGCTAAAAACAAAAATACTGCACTTCAATAAATCGATTGACAAATACAGAATTATTTGTAAGACATCTATCTCGTAGTACGTATATATATCAAAGAAATATTTCGGGAACAGGGCTAATTGCGAGAGATCGCAGTATGGTTGCTACGCAATAATTTAATTATACATAATAGTATCTAGGCAATCCGCAGATAATTTGCAGTTAAACATGAGGTTATATAATCTTCGATTACAATTTTAAGTTACCTACATAACCATTTTAAAAAACATAAAACAAATAAACAATGTATTTAATCTAAAAACAACATTCTTTAAAAATAGAATAAAAAGACTCAATTCTAAAACTTTCTTCTGTTCTTTACTTGCTGTAAATTATTCTACACACGTTAATGTTGGTTGTATTATGAATACCTTAAGTAGTGCTGTTCGCGCTTTAATGATAGTGTAGAATTAATATGACTTTTTGAAGCAGGAGACGTGAAAAAAATTGCAGTTACGCAAAGAAGTAGGAAACTGACACTAAACGGTCTTCATTTACATAATATTTTTAATAACGTACTGTATATTGTATAAATATTAGGACAACATAAAAACTCAGACTTTGAGGATTAATTTTTCTCAGTTTTTGGAGCATTAATTAACCTTATAGGCTAAATTACATATATAACAACAAGGTGGTAGAAATATAAGGAAATTATAATTTATGTAAATAGTAGTAGTGCATTTCAATCATAAGAATTTATGAAATATTGGAATTAGGAAAATATGTCAATAATACAGTTAGAACACATTTTAAGAATTAAATTGAATTACACTTTAGAACTGTCTTATTTTAACCTTTTACACACTGTTTTATTAACAATACTGTTTTACACATTGTTTTATTAACAAAAGTTAGTTATATAAATAGCAAACTTTTGTTAAAGATTTGAAATGTTTTCTTTAGTGTTAATTAAGTTAGATTTGTAAATAGGAACTAAGCAAAACATGAATATATGTTACATACGTTACATGCCTTTGCAGTTAGTACGTGAAATCTGGTGAAACTTGTGTATCTTCGTTAGATAGGATGGATGGGAATAGTTTTGAATTTCTTGAAAATGTAATCATCGAATCCTTCTTATTAAATTAATTAGTATGAAACGATATCAGGGAAAATTCTAAAGCACTCCATGTCTTTCTCAAGGATTTCTACTCATCCATGGACGACATGGAGTATAACATGAAGAATTTATGCTGCACATGAGGAAAATCATGAAGACCTCATAGAAATATACACGAGGAATCAATCAAAGAGAAACTACCCTTAATTTGAAATATCAGCTGCTCGGCTACTAGTTTACAATTTTGTTTACGAGTACAATCCCTTTTAAAGAAACCGTTGTTTTGTCAACTAAATTCATATGAAACTTTGAACGAAGTCCTCATTTGTTATTTTTATGCTCCAGGATGACTGTCTTTTAAAAATGATTTCTTAATAACACGGATTAATATTCCTTTCTTAACCGCAGATAGTTGCTGGAGCTAATTTCAAAATGGACATCATTGTTGGGCTGACCACGTGCAAGAAGAGCGAAGTTGAGTTCGAAGACGCTAACGACTGCGAATTCCAAGACAATATTGTAAGTATTAGCATTTTATTTCGCTAATTCTGAAATGTATCTTAGTTTAATAAATATAAGGTGTTTATGTGAGTATCGTTTGCTTCATTTTATTGTTGCAAACAGCATAAATTCCTTTTGTTTTTCTTCCTTTAGTTTTGAACTTTATGCGTGGCAACAAGATAATTGATTGATAGAATTGTGTTTGTGACAGCCATGTAGAATGGCTCGCTTATTTTGTATCAATTATTTTGCATCGCTGACATATTATTTATAATTAGTGTAATGAAATAAAAGTGTAGGAATACAGTCCATTTGTTGATTGATTATAGTTTGTGAAACATAAGGGTTATACCATAAAAGATTAATTAGGCCTACGGTTAATCGAATTAGTGTATTATTAGCTAGTATACATTGTGTTTGCAGAAGATACTTCAATACAGAAAACAAAATGCCGAATATTTTATATATTGTAATGCATTGTTAAAAACATAACAAAATATGAAATTTTCATTTCCAATTGACATCTGTGGCCACAGATGTCAATTGCAAATAAAAATGGAATTAAAACTGCCTTGACTGCGAAGTTTTTTAGATGTTGCGAAATTAACATGTTAGCATACTACAGCATTTCTTCCTCTTCAACATGGATCTACAATTTATTTCATTTAGGTATTGCGCATCAACATTGTTCCTACATCAGTACTACTAAATTTGAGTATATTACATATATATATGGAAAATTCAGTGGAAGTCAGAAATGCTTGAAGAAATCTCTCTATATATACATACAAAATGCTCATTATAAATAAGAAATATTAATATAAATAAATTGTAGGACTAATACTGGGAAAGGTTTTTTTACACAGTTTGGTCTCAGAGTGAATTTAAAAATTTATTCCTTTTCCATTTTTCTCACGTCTTTTAACACGCTAATTGAAAAATTCACTATTGTGTTTTTCTTCTATATATGATAGGATTAAAAATTTCGTGGAAAGGGTATAAAATTAGGAGTTCCTACCGGGCAAAAGATAGAAAAATCTTCTTTATTTATGAAACGGTGGAAGGGCATTCCGCAAATAATTTCGTTCTACAACACTTATATATTCAAAATTATATATATAGATATAAGGTTAATCACTGCTAAAATAAAGACAGCCTAAGCTGCTAAAGTAGTTTAGGAGATGCCCATGAGAAATTTAATTTACTGTTAGCTTAATAAAAAAATAGTTTACGACGTTTAAAATATAAATAGATATCATATATTTTAAAGAAATTAAACCTAGGTTTTTGACTCTGTAAGATAGGTTTTATAATTTGTAACTGAATACCCGACAAATTCCGTTTACTGTTACAGACAATATTTTTAATGTGTTTCCTAGTTCATTGAACTCTTATGATGCAACTTATACACATTCTACACAGACTTTTTTAAACCTTTTGCTTATATTTTGGGAAAAAGTACTATTTTATTTATAAAATAATTTGCTATTTCCATTCATGAATGTAAGACTTATAAAAGAACACTAATACCGTCTGAAAATTAGTTTGAATTTTATATAGTTATTCTTAATGTGCTTCAATACAGCTCAAGAAATTCAGTGGAAATCAGAAATGCTCGAAGTATTTACAATAATTAATTTTATAGTATATATTCTTTTTACTAACTTATAGTTTCGTTTAAATAATGGTTGAAATAAAGAAATTATTAAAAAAATCTGAACTGAAAAAAATAATTTAATATTTTTTAAATGCTTCCATTTAGAAATATTATCAGGGTGGCTTGCAAAGTGATTATTTTTCAACATGAAGAGAAACTGGATTTGTATTTTTTTTTTTTTTGTCAACATTTATATAAAACTTTTAACATGGCAAATTATTGCATAAATTATGATCGAAAATTATATAGATTTGAAAGAACTTACTTCAACAAATATTAATTTTTTCAGAAAGTTTTAGATTAAAAATCAAAAGGGGGAAAAAACACATTATAGCCGTCTAGTGAAGAATGTAAAACATTTCTTGTTAAATATTATTGCATAAATTATGATCGAAAATTATATAGATTTGAAAGAACTTACTTCAACAAATATTTAATTTTTTCAGAAAGTTAGATAAAATAATTCAAAAGGGGAGAAAGCAAAAGCAACACATTATAGCCGTCTATGTGAAGAATGTAAAACATTTCTTGTTAAATATTATTGCATAATTATGATCGAAAAATTATATAGATTTGAAAGAACTTACTTCAACAAATATTTAATTTTTTCAGAAAGTTTAGATAAAATAATTCAAAGGGGAGAAAAGCAACACATTATAGCCGTCTATGTGAAGAATGTAAAAAAACATTTTGTTAAATATTATTGCATAAATTATGATCGAAAATTATATAGATTTGAAAGAACTTACTTCAACAAATATTTAATTTTTTCAGAAAGTTTAGATAAAATAATTCAAAAGGGGAGAAAAGCAACACATTATAGCCGTCTATGTGAAGAATGTAAAACATTTCTTGTTAAATATTATTGCATAAATTATGATCGAAAATTATATAGATTTGAAAGAACTTACTTCAACAAATATTTAATTTTTTCAGAAAGTTTAGATAAAATAATTCAAAAGGGGAGAAAAGCAACACATTATAGCCGTCTATGTGAAGAATGTAAAACATTTCTTGTTAAATATTATTGCATAAATTATGATCGAAAATTATATAGATTTGAAAGAACTTACTTCAACAAATATTTAATTTTTTCAGAAAGTTTAGATAAAATAATTCAAAAGGGGAGAAAAGCAACACATTATAGGCCGTCTATGTGAAGAATGTAAAACATTTCTTGTTAAATATTATTGCATAATTATGATCGAAAATTATATAGATTTGAAGAACTTACTTCAACAAATATTTAATTTTTCAGAAAGTTTAGATAAAATAATTCAAAAGGGGAGAAAAGCAACACATTATAGCCGTCTATGTGAAGAATGTAAAACATTTCTTGTTAAATATTATAACATGTGAGAAAAAGAACATTAATTACATTTTCTTTTTGTGATTTAGTAATTTTTCTTATCTTTTTAACTATTCCGATTGACTTCTAATTAATCTATGATAAGAAATACTCAAATGAATAGTATCAAGATAATTACGGCATACATGTTTCCCTCGTGATATGTTTTTTTAAAGTGCATGTTCAGTTACGCAATTTGCTTAGCAAGTTACGAGCTTTAATTGCTTCCGGACTTCAGCATCTTACTACCGAACATAGTTTATAGCAGGGTTTCATAAACTTTTTTCAGCCGCGACCCATTTTTATCACTGAATTTTTTTGCGACCCCCAGGATCACAAAACATTTTACAAAAATTTTGTGGGACCCCCATAAGTATTTCGGAAATCCGACACACGCGTGAGTGAAACTGTCAATATTTTCACTTGTACTGTAATATACTGTTGCAGTTTTAGGTCGTTACCTTTAATTTCTAATTTTAAGACATAGAAAAATGAAATTTTAAAAAAGTAACAGACGAAATGACAGCGTCACGTGCAAAGCAAGGAAAATGAACTTTTATGTTATAAAAAGAATGCGTCTAAACATTTTCGTTTTTTTCTTTGTCTGTATTGTTTTATCTTTTATCTATTTTCAGATACATTGTGTAAAAATATTTGGTAATTGTAAAATTATTATAATAAGTTAATGAAATATCAAAACTGCTAAAATTTTTGGTGACCTCCTGCTGCATGTCACGCGACCCCTTTCGGGGTCGCGACCAACAGTTTAAGAAACCCTGGTTTATAGTACTGTGAATGCCTTTCCAAACATTTAAAAATTATCAGCTTTGGAAACAAGAAAAAAAATTAGTCCTGTATTTTATCAGCAATATCTGTCAGATATCGCAAAAACTGTAAAAGCTTGCGCTTCTTGCTTTGTCTTGAGTTACTTAAACTGTCGAAAAGGCCGGAAATCTGATTTCGTCTAAGGCTTGAAAATCTAAAACACTTGTAAAATTCCCAGTAAAAAATCATTTTGCGCATCAAATTATTTTTGCTTCTGAGGTAAAAATTTCTTTCTTTAAGAAAGCTCTTAATGTATGTTTTATAAGAAAAAACTTCAACTATGTCTACACGCATTAAAAGAGTCCATCCACGGTTGAGTGCTTATTAATAGGTTTTGCATGAGCAGTCATTTTAAAATAAGTAGTAAATTGATATGCAGGGAAGACCGAAAGCTGCAGTATTCACACATGTTTTTAGAATTAGCCTTTCAAAAGCCACGCTGATGACCAAAATTAAAAAAAAAACAAACGCATTTTTTTAAATATGTTAGAATATAAATCATATGGGGAAATGAAAAAATTAAAAAATAATACACTTTTGAAAAACGAATGTTATTTGTATTTTGATTTATATTTGCATCTAATAAATAGTAATAACTACCGATTTACGAAACAAAGTTAAAGGGCTCTTTTGCGAATCTGTAATTCTCTTGTTCAGAAACGTGACTACTTTCATATTAAATGTTATTTCATTAAACGAGTGATCACAGTCTTCTAAATTACGGATTGAGATAGTAGTCTTAGGCAGGCTTGAGGCTAGACACAAGTCTGGTGAAAAGCGTAGGTGGAAGCAATTCCAGAGCTAGAACATCAGATCAATATTGCGCAAGAGCAATGACACTTTATGAAGACTAACAGACAGTCTGATCTGGTTAGACTATCGAGCTTGCTATCATTTCCCCGATGTATGGAAAAGCGGTAAAGATTTGGCGTTTAGTATAAGTTTAGTATAAGGCTGTATCCTACTAGTTGGCTGTACGTAACCTGCCCGTGTTTGATGAAAGAGATGAATATGCACTGTTATATCAATGAAAGTCTTTCATTTATGTGAGAATATTTTGATATGCCATTCTAACCTAGGTCAATTTCATACACAGTGGCGGTTCGTCAAAGAGGCTCCAGGTTTCCTAAATAAGGAGGATATTTGTGGGTTCTTCATTCCCATAACCCTTCATTTAACTTGAACCTTTTGCAACAACTCCTGACCTGGACCTTTTACTTTGTATAACATGCTTTAGATAAAAGCACCTTCATAAGGCTAAAATAAGTTAAAATCTGAAAAAGCAAGGACTTATTGTCATAAAATTTCTTTGCAACTTCAATAAGGTTTATTGTGATAATTGTCTGAGACTAGGACAGGCCATAGCTGTAAACCTGTTCTTTCCAAGAGATCTAGTATAGTATGTTTTGAACACCTTTCCCAAATCACAAGGATTTAAAGGATTTAATCCTCTGTTTTTATTATATGCGACTATACTTATTTCGCATTACAAGATATATCTATATCAAATTTTATTAACATACCCTGAATGCTTTTTCAGATATTACGCAATTTGTGTTTTTTACCTTTATTTTTGATACAAGTGCCCATAATCTCGTAGAAGACGTATTTAATCAGAAAAATATATTCACAGGTATTGTCCTTTTCCTAAAGTTCCCAATTTTTAAATTTCCCGAACGAAAAGGAAACATATTATTATCGTTAACTGTAGATAAAAGTATAGTGAAATGCCATCCAGCAAATAGTTAAAAATTTTCTCATCATTTTGTAGAGTCATTAGGTTAATTGGAAGCAGAAAAGATGAAAAATATGCAACCATCTTCGCCGAGAGTCGAATCACGGACCTCTGGAATACCGGCCCAGCGTGCCACCGTTACATCACGAAGGCACGCTAGGGAAGTGGGAGAAATACCTTATAATTTTAATAACTACTCTAAATTCATTTTCTGGAATTCTTAGATGATTTTCACAAAAAACAGTTCTTCGTTTTATGGTAGAATTTATTGCTCATTAGCCCAATATATAATTTAAATTTTCATTAAAACTAATGCAATACTAAGACAAACACAATTTTAAATTTAAGGTTTTTATTTGTTCCAGTTGGAATTTAACTAACTATTTTAAAGACGAATTAAAATCTTGAAATGTAAAAGCAGCATTGATTTTCTCTTCATCTCAGGATATCTGTTTCTTCCGCATTTTCCCATAACACATACAAATAGTTTCCCTTTGCATGTTTATAAGCATAATGGAATTCGAATTAGGGTATAAAATTCGATGCCCTATTAGAAAGTTGCTTTTTTATGCTGTCATATTTACAAAACTAGCAAACACTACCTTCAGCCATATATATCAGGATAAAGCTAAATTGTGTAACTGAAATTTGCCATTTTAATTCAGTGAGATAGTTGAAGTCGTGAAGATGGATGGTTTGAAAGGCATGGTATGCTTTTGTGATTCGAGTTCTCCAAGAATTATGTAATGATATACCTTTATATTTTACATATCTTAAATACCGGATTATGAAAATGCCTATAATTCAGTTATTATTCATATATTTAGATTCCGAAAATTTTAAATTAAAAAATAATTAATTTAAGAAACTTTTGTATTCATTACTGCTATGACAATTCATGAAATACGGAATATTGAAAGGCCTATTCCAAGCGTAATTTCGTTTGGCAAAGTAATGGTATGTTTGGTTAAAAAAAGAAATCATAGTGTTTCTTTTATGCGATTTTGTACCTTATTCTTTTCTTTTCATACAGAGCACATACAAGAAATGCACAGTCTTAGTCTACAGGGACTTGAAGGACAAACATAGGCTGGTAAGCTCTGGATGCATCTTGGCTTCTAAGAAGGATCTCTAAAGGAACGTCAAACGCTATTTCCAAAGCGAAGACGTTTAGCAAAATATTCAGAAGAATCTAATGTAATAAAAAGAAGTAATCTCCATCCGGAAACACAAAGGCTGTATAAATGATTTTGATGAATCAATAAAAAACTGCTTCTTAAAACTCCTTCTTGCTCATTTATATTAGACATGTTTTCATTAAACAAACATTAAATATTCATTATTTGACAATACAATTGTTTCACAAAACAAATGCTCAATGATTTTCAGTTTTTTAAACCAGAAATTATATTTTGAGTTTCTTTTAGTTAGCAGAATTATGCACTAATATAGGTTTTTCTTAATAGGAAACTAGTGTAGAGACCCTTCCGTAAAATGGAAGATATCTGCATTAATATTAGTTGTTCTGCATAACAGAACTAAAGCAGCTGGGGAAAGGTTTATGATAACTCATCGTTGGCAAAAACTAAAGGGAAAAAATTAATATAAATCTATTTTGAATTAAAAAATAAACATCTTGTAAGACCTCTAGCACATTTTATTGTAGAAGAGTAATTACCTATTTTTGAAGTTAATTTCCTATGAATGCAACAAAACTTCAGTCATAAGTTGAGAAAATAAACATTTTGGTAACGATGTTTTTCTTTTTTAATTTTTCATTTTAGACGTGTAGAAAGTTTTGGTAATGTATATGTGCACCCCTGATTGAAAAGTAAATTTCACATAGATCTTTCACTATGTTTTTTTATTTGAGTACAAAGTCTACTTGTGATAACAAAGACTGTTCGTGCTTGACCGAAATATGAAGCTTCCGAAGAGTATTAAGTGGGGCGCAGGGATGCAAATCGACACAGGTTCAATCAATATTAAGTATTGAGAATATGTGAGCTACGCCACTGAGTTGACTACTTCGTAGTTAAGATGTATTTACAACCGTAGGACGCAGATTAGACAAGCATCGCCGTCCATATGAAAGAAGTCGTCACGGATTGAATGTACAAAAAGCCTGACACATGGATTAAAAGCTTTGTCTTAGCATCTATCAGAAGTCACAGCGCCGCCAGTAAATAATGTGCAAGTCATTGCTATCATTCGAAACGGTTACAACTTTTATTTTGGGAAATTTTTCTAGGATAAGATCGGTCCGAGGTTCGAATCCCGCGAACGGGCTGGCTACATGGGTGTTTTCGTGGTTTTCCCCATGTGTAACGTGCATACGAGCCAGTTTCCCTTAGAAAGTCCTCCACGAAGGCATCCATCCCCTTAGGCAGATAGCCCTCGAGGCTCTGCCGTAATTACATAACCTAACCTAACCTTTCCTAGGATAGGTTTTAAACTGCAAAGCTTAGCATACCCTTATGTTTTCAATATGACTTGTGCTTGAACATCCACCTTCAATGCTGTCAACCAAATCCTGGTAGTGAAGAATCATCATTCTCCACCCTTTTTAGTTCGGGCGCCACTGTAGAGAATTTAGAATTTTTTTAATCAGAAAATTGAAGAAATTTGCAGTGCCCTCGCCGGGACTCGAACCACGGACCTCTCGAATACGCTCCGAGCGTGATGATCATTACACAACAAAGGCATGCTAAGAAGACGGGAAAAATACTTTATGACATAATGGAATTCTTTTTGATTTAATGTTGATATAAGCAAATACGTTTTAAAACGAAAACCAAGGATAATTGTTCTGGCTTCAATGAAGTTGATGTCTGTTCAAAGCTTTATCTTTCATAATATTTATTGCTTAGTATTTATTGATGCATAGCTTCATAACAGTATGAAGAACTTTCTGAATATTGTTGCTTTATTTTCTTCCTTTACTTTACGTTCGTAAGTACGGATTCGTATGGATTTGGAGTGAATAACGACGACAGCACTTGATAGAATATCGAAACACACCTTTTTTAGCCAATATTAATCAGGACAGCTCCAAAACACTTTTACAGTGGTGGAAGATCTACTATAAACACGCTGGAACAATCAGCGACACAGCCTTCACACTGTCAGGCAATAACGGTGGAGACAGCTTCACTGCAAAGCACCAGAGTACAGCTTCCGACTCTGCTCGGTCGTTCTCGGAACTTCACGTACTCTCGAGACTCTGCACACTACAACTCTCGATGCACTCGACGACACACTGAGCACAGCTCCCGACTCTTCGGTTCAGTCGTTCCCGGAGCTCAACACACTCTCTCGACGATGCACTAACCGGCATACACTAAGAGACTCTTTCGATGCACTCGACGACCCACTCGGCGCTCGCTGCCCGGCTGTCAACTCGATCGACTCCGCACGGACTGACTAACTCGAGACGAACTATCTCACACTCACTCTCCGCGTACTAGCAGGGCTTATATAGTTTTTCGCTTGTGTTCGAGAACATTCTGGGCTAAACCGGTAAGAATTCGTTCCAGAAGGTTCTCCATCCGTCCATGGCATATCGCCAATTTTGTCGCCAAATGGGCGAATTCTCGCCATATGTGGCAACCCTAAACCTGCTTTGCGGGGAAGCTATCTCACCGTGCCTGGACTTTTCGTAACGATATATGTATTTCGCAACTAAATGTTTTTTGCGGAAAACACACTGTGTATGAATGTTAGGGACTTCTTGAGATTCGCTAAAAAGTCTCCAATTTTCCAAGCATCGCTAGTGTACTGTCACATAAAGCCGCATTTATGTTGGACAGAGGAATGCTATATTGGTAGAAAAATTTGTTTTCAGACTAATGAAATAAGTCTCTACTCTTGTGACTCTTGTGCTTGTTTCGAGTTTTTTTGGGGAGAAAAGAAAACAGTTTTGAAATTAATTAAAGAACGCTATTATTTCTTCCTTAGTATCACTATAATAACATATATAGATCACTAAAACGATGTTTCATTCAAAAATTGATTTATCCAGCTGTATGGCAAATTCATTTAATCCTTAATTCAGAAATCAGTTGTTGTTTATTGGTTTTGGTCATTTCATTTATACAACGTTGTTACTGAGCGACAAACTTTGTAAATCTGGATCCGGATTAATTTTTATAATTGTAGTTATTATTTGTTGAATTACTGGCAGTAATAACTTTTCACCAACTGTATAAAGGTGTTCTCCTTTTGCAATGAAGATTCCAGTACTCCTTCATAATTCTTAAATGACGATGGTGTCAAAAAGGATGTACTTCCTTTCTTTGAACGCATTTAAAATTTATCTTTGAGATTTTTGAAGTACTTCAAATTGCTTCCTTTTTTTATCTTATTAAATGGTATTTGATTTTTTGATAGTTTCATTGCATAGTTACGAAAAGTTTTGACATGAAGGAAACGTAAAGGTAATGTTGAGTTTTCCGAAGACGAAATAAAGCATTAAATATTCATCAGAATAATGTCGATATTTTCCTTTTTCACATGACATCGTTAATTTCTTAAAATCCCTGAAATTGTGTCGAAATTTAAAAATGCAAATATTAAAACTGGCTTACCATTCTTACAATGGCATGTAGTTTGTACAGCAAACCCGAGAGATACAAATGCACCGTGAATATCATTATATTATTGTCTTATAATTGCTTGTAACCTTCTGTTCTGCATTTTTGTTGTTTTGAGCAGCAGTGTTTCGTAATGGATGCGTTAACACGGGGCAAAGGTTTCTTCTCATACGGCGGTGAGAGAGCAGTAGTTAGTTTATGATATTCTTCTCAGATGTAAAGTGTTAATTCATAACGTAATTCCCATTTGAGCATAACTTTTATTAATAATTTCAACTGTCGGCATCGTTGAAAGAATAGGCATAGATTTTGCTCTGATCCATTAGTTTTGCATTTTTCGTTTTTTTAATATAATGAGTTTTCTCGTGATCTTGACTTTTATGTTTTTATATTGCACTTACCGCTTAAAAATATTGTTTAAAACTAATATTATTGATTTAAAAAATATATTAAATATTTTGGTGTATTTCCCCCCATACATTTAATTTTTACTGTTTCTTCCGTATCACGCGATGTCAATAAGCAATTAAATATCAGTTTTTTGATAACCTTCTTTTGTAATCAATGGGATCTTGACTATGCCTATTAATTGCCGATGCATATTTGGTTACCAACCCCTTTATCACTATCTAACACCTTTAAAATTTTATCGATCCCTAGGGAGTCTACACTGACCACGTTGGGAACCTCTGGACTAACTCAGCAAAATCACCTATGAGGGTTTCTTTACGCAGACGCGTCTATCACAGCCTTATCATAAATCAGATAAATCCTTTTTATCCCATGCTGACGTGAAACGAAACATTGATTGGAAGATTTCAGTTCTAGATGGCATTTCCGTCTTTGAAAATGCCGAGGCTGTTAAAAACCACTTGCCTGATTATCCCGAGTTATCTCGGGTTTGTATATATAGCAGTTAATTATTATCTCGAGAAAATTCGTGCGATGCAGAATTAGTCAGTACGATTTGTTTTATCACGGTTTTACTCGGCTTGGAGAAAATGAAAGGAAATGGAAATATTCAGCTTTGATTTGCAGTTTGCCAGGTTTTGTTGGTTTCGCGGTTCTTTTGGCGGGACTGCTCACGTGTTTTCGCTATTGTATCCAAGTAGCACACGATTTTGCAAACTGGTCCGAGAAGTTGCAAAGTAGTCGTGGTAATAACTTTTATGACGTCTCTTTACAACGTTGCAAAGACGCAAAATATTTGCCGTTGCATCTTGGCAATTTGTCGACATCGCTGAAACTCATGATATAACCGCTTTTGGATGTGATCGTTTTAGCATTTTTTTCATAGTTCATAAGTGTTACTTTTAGAATGAAAAGAGACTAAATCTTCCCTTTCAAGAATCTGAAGTCCGCACAAGATTTAATTTGCAATGTTTCATTACTTTATTTCATCTAAACATATTAATCTAAGGTAGATTCATCTAATGAAACATAAATTTAATATAAATACTTTTGATTTATTAAATTTAATTAGTACTAAAATACGTGCTAAATAATTGTTTTAAAATTTTGTTAAAATAATTAATACTTAACATATTTTTTATAAATATTATAGCAAAGTATTTAAAAATCAAACTAATCTATGAAGTAAGTTATTAAGTTATGCATTTTATATATTTTAAAAAATCATGTTTCCGAAATCAATGCAAATCACATGTTAGAAATTATTTCACACTGATATACG